ATCCATCAGCCTCCCTCCCCTGCCTCGCACCAGGTCCGCACCTCTGTCCTCCAGCGCTCCACTTCTGTGTCCCTGCACCCTCTGCCACTCTCACCTTTGCACCATCTGGCTGGTGACAGCCAGCTCGCCAAACAGCCCAGGCTCCGCTTTGTGTGTGCCTCCCTGTCTTTCCTTCCTGATAAATTCTTGCTCACGTTTCAAGCCTTTGCTCTACTAGCAGGGGTATTCTTGGCTTCCTTTGGACTAATTTTGCCCGTGTTCTGATACGCCTTTTATTACCTCCCATAGCCAGAAATTTTCTCACTCTCTACCATTGTACCTGCCACGCAGCTGGCAGGAGTTTTCAAATTCGTTCAGGAGTCTCAGTATAAGAAGTTTCAGATTTGAATCCATGGCTGTGGCAAAGCCCTGATGTTACCCCTCATTTCCATCATACACAGCACACGAAGATGGCTTTTAGTGGTGTCAGCTCAGGATGCTGATTCAGGTTTTCACTCCTCACACTCTTGTCCTCTCCTGCACTTCCCTAAAATGAAAGACAAATGATTTTTCAAGAATCCAAATCTGAGCGTGCCCTTTCTGCCTGTCAAGTGATTCTCTTATTTATTTATTTATTCATTTATTTATTGTACTGAGGATTGAACCCAGGGCCTTCTTACTGAGCTACGTCCATAGCCCCCTTTTTTGTTTTATTTTTAAATTTAAGACAGGGTCTTGGTAAATTGCTAGTTGCCCAGGCTGGGATGACACTTGCAGTCTCCCTGCCTCACCTTTTCAGAGTGCTGGCATTACAGATGTGTGCCACAAATCCCAGGATCTCTATTACTCTTAGGCTGAAGTTCGAAATACTCAGTGAGCATGTTCCACTTTAGCTTATGCTACATAGTCTTGATTACGAGGCTCAGGCACCTTGACTGCCCTTCACTGCCACCAACGTGTCCCACTTCTGCCAACCTATGTCCTTCACTTATGCCTTTCCCTGCCTGGAATGGTCCCTTTCTTCCCCTTCACCTGGATATGGCTATGCAGTCTCCTTAAACATTAGCTTCCATGCCACTTGTTCAGGAATGGTGATCTCTTACTGGGAGTGGGTTCTGGGCAGCAAATTATCTTCGGGGCCTGTACCCTTATGTGCACGTTATACCGAAACTAAGTGTGCAATATCTCATGCAGTGACTGTAAAATGCAGGGCCAACTTGAACATTTCTTATGATAACTTATTAAAATGTAAAATAAAATGTTTTTAAGAAGGAGAGCTATTTTTAAAATTTTGCACAAACTTGATGCACAGGCTTATGTTACCTTGTTTCATTCCTATCTAACATGTTCTCCATGTAATAGTCATCAGAGTTGACTGTGTTAAATCCTTATCAATTTTCATAGAGATTTTAAAACTTAGATCCCACTCTCTCATGGCCGAGTATGCATTCCCCTGAGAAGAGATTACCTCTCTCTTGCTTATTGTTACACCCTCACAGCCTGCCTCTCCTCCACTTAGAACACTCAGCAACTTGTACCAGGTGAGGGGAGCTGGGGCCACTGTGTCCTGCTTGGTGAACTGTGCCAGCTGCATCTGGCATCTTAAGCAAACAGTGCCCTTTGGCTCCGCACTCACTGCTGGCTGTGTCTTGTCTCTAGAGCCACAAGAAAGCAAGTTAATCACAGTTGGCCGTAGGTTATCCAGTCTATCTGAAAGAAATGCCAAAGCTTCTCATTACCCAGGATGCTTGGTAGCATGAACCAGGTAAAAAAAAAAATCCAACATTTTGATCTTTAAAAAATGCTTTCCTTTAGTTTTAAGCATTATTTTTGTTTTGAATAAAATGGCAAGTAGATATAAAGCACTAGTAAGTTTAATTCATATGCTTTATATCAGTGTGTAATAGTGTACAGCATTTCACAGTTTATTTTTCTTTCTATTTTATGAGCTTTTATCTAATATTATGATAAAATCTTATACTCCTGAGAGCCTGACTGCACAGAAACAGCCACGCTCACAATGTTCAGAGATTCAGAAGGGTTCCCCTGGCAACTGGGACTGCCTGAAACCATCCCAGTGTTCTTCCCATGTTCACTTCATGTTGGCCACTAATATGGTAAAAATGGGGAAAAATTAGGGGCACACAGATGAAACAAGACTACTTTTATTTTAGCTAGTGTATTTTACCTTCAAAAGGCTGATTCAACTACTAAAGATTTATTAGCAATCATCAGGATTAGCGCATCATCTTATAGTTTAGAAGTCCTGGGCTGAGTTCTGCATCCTGCTTTAGTTACAGAAATACATCCCAGAGAAACCCTTTTATACTCACTGTATGCAATCTGCCTTCTTCTGTATGTACAAATGCTGTATTGGAAGATTCAACCAACCACAGCTTTAAATACATTATTTTTTAAAAATTGCATTTGTAGTGAATATGTACACAGACTTTTTTCTTGTTATCATTCTCTAAACAATACAGTGTAACAACTATTTATATAGCAATTCCATTGTATTCAGTACCATAAGTCATTTAGAGATGATTTAAACATATGAGAGAATGTGTGTAGGTTGTATGCAAATTCTTTGGCATTTCATGTAAGGGACTTGAGCAGCTGTGGATTTTGGTATCCGTGAGGGCTTTGGAATCATTTCCTGGAGGGTACCGAGGGACAAGAGTATTTGTGAGAAAGGGAGATCAAGAGTTTGAATTGTTGGAATTGTATCAACTTGGAGACTTCTTTATAATTGTTTACATCTTTAAAACTTCAAGTAAAGCCTTTAAAAATAATACAGTTTCCTTTCTTCTTTTTTATCCTTGCTAAATACTTCCCTCTCAAATTTGTTTTGTGGTGGGGCAGAGGGGAGAGTTTGCTTAATGAAATGGTTCTGCTTAATAGGGATATGGCAAGAGCCAGGAGCGCTTGTGTTTGAACCCATACCCAGTGTTACCAGCTGTGAGAGCCCCCTGGATGCTAAAGAAAGAAAACAACCAATGTGTAAATGAGCAGAAAAGGAAGCTACATAATCTCGACACACTTTCAAAAGTGTGTAGCAAAGGGCCATGTGTGTAGTGCATGCCTAAAATCCCAGCACTGGGGGTGCTGAGGCAGGAGGATCACTTCCATTTGAGGCCTGGGCAATAAAGTAGGCTCGAGGCCAACCTGAGCTATATTGCAAGACTCTGTCTCAGAAACCCAAAACGGTGCAGCACAGACAGTTCTCACACAAAGAAGGAGAGACAGCAAATGAACATGTGAAAAAGTGTTCAGCATCACTGGTCATTCGAGAAAGGCAGGTGTACTTTTAATGCACGAAACCATAGATAAGTACATAAACATACTTGTAAATAGATAAAAGGATAGAGGGATCATTGTGGACTTCACAGTTTTTTAACTTTCTTTACAACTCTAGCATTGCTCAGTTTTCATTAATTTCAAGCAAAACATCTTTACTAATTTGTTTGGATAGCTCGAACAGGAAGCAAGCCCATAGACACATAGGGAATATTCTGTTTGCCATCTTCCTTATGAAGAGAGCACCCTTGGATACATGGAAGCCCCAGCGGGTTGAAATTTGCAATATGAGATGCCACTTTCCAGTGAGAGCTTGGAGTAAGATTTAAAAGACACAAGATATGATAATCATTCTCAAGACACTCGGTGGAAAAGATGGTGGCCGAAGGAATGGTTTTTATTTTTATTTTTATATCACACTGCTTAAATGAATTATGCCTTTCTAGGCTATGAAAAAACTTGGTGACCAAATCTCTTTTGGAGCCAAGGTGTGTAGAAAGAAGTAGGAACCCTTTTCTGACATTGCTAATGGATGGAAAGGCTGTCTCAGTCATTAGGATATACGCAGATACGGGTATTAAGTGTGAGCTATGGGAAGCCGTGGGGACCTGTGTTTCTCAGTCTGAGGCAAAAGAAAACATGAGGAAAATTCAAGTGCGTACGTAATCACTGGGATCCTCTAATCCTGGCCCCAGTAAGCAATGTTCTGGGGGACTTCCCTACTCTTCCTTGGATCCCCACCTTTGTGCCCTGTGCTTCTGGTCCCTTTGCCTAAGTGACACTTTCACCCAGCAGAATTTAACAGCAATACTTGCACTGACAGAGTTTTGCCAAGAAATAGCAGTGGGTGAGTTTCTCTTCAGAGGTTCAGATTCGGTGGTGTGGTAGAGGAGGTGTTGTGGCGAAGGAGATGTGAGCAGGATGTGATGACTCCAGGATTATTATAAGACACTGTCGCCTTCTAGATCATTGCTGAAGGCTGGGCGGGGAGACTGAGTGTTTTATCCCCACTGGTGACACCGTGCTGTGCCGGCAATACCTATAAGGTGCAGTTTGCATTCGAGCTGCCATTCCATTGCAGCAGACTGAAAGTAACAGAATGCACAGAAGTATTCTATCCATACATTTAAAATCATTAATAGTTTATGATGTGGTATTATTCTAACTGGATCATTTTCTATGTTGTTTGGATCACTATAAATAAATAAATAAACAAATAAACACATCCCTCAAAATTGCAATGGCTTTTCTCCTTCCCCCAGAAAAAGACACGTCCTGTGAGCTATGCGCTCAGTAACTTCTACACGCACTATGAATGATCTCGGCGCGTACTGAATTAAACAGGCATATCCTTTCCTATTACTAAACGTAAAATGGGCCAGAGCTCAGTCCTAGACCTCTGGGAAGGCTGAGGGGGCCATCGAAGCAAGGCAGCCTGCAGGTAGGGGCAGCCGTGGGGCTGGTGGGGATGCGCTCTGGGGCCTGGGCCAGGGCTCTGGAGGGGCGGAGCGGCGGTGGGCGGGCCTCTGGCGGGCGCACCAGCCCGGCGGTCTCCAGCGGGTCCCCCCAGCCCGGCTGCATCCTTGGGGCGTCCGGCTCAGCTGAGCCACCTCCAGTAGTGGGAGCCGCGCACGGAAAGCAGCTGGGAAGCAGACGGCGTCAGGCAGAAAAGGAGCCCTGGGCCACACTGCCTGGGCCGGGGTCCAAGAGTCAGCGACGCGAGGCGGGAGGTGCCTGGCAGCCCCGGCTGAGCCAGACCTGGAACGCGCGGGTCAACCGCGAGCCCTTCGCCTGTCTTCAGGAAGCAGGGGTGAGCTTCGGCCTTTCGCGGAGGAGTCCTAGCCAGGGGTCTGGGCTGGGGGCGGTGGGGCTTTGCTTGTCCTTGGAGGCTGAGCCGTCAGTCTGGGGATAATTCCACAAGCCAGCAATGCCTAGGATTAGGGGCGCGGTGTCTCAGGAGCCAAAGGAGGCAGGACTTAGCGGCACCCCCGCCTGGCCCCCAGCGGAGCATGAGCCGGCGGGGTGGTGACGGGCAGAGGTCGGCTCTCCCCATCCCTCCCCAGGGTGGTGGGGCCCGGGCTGGATGTCAGAGAGCCCCGGGGTCTGCAGAGCCACCGGCCTCCGCGCGGCGGTCAGAGCGCGGGCAAAGTTTCCTTCTCCGGCCAGCCGGTCCCGTCGCTCCCGCCGCCCTGCAGGTGCTGCCTCTCCCGGCCCCGCGGCAGTCGCCCCGCCATGGACTCCCCGGTCCAGATCTTCCGGGGGGAGCCGGGCCCCACCTGCGCCCCGCGCGCCTGCCTGCTCCCCAACGGCAGCGCTTGGTTCTCTGGCTGGGCCGAGTCGGACAGCAACGGCAGCGCCAGCCCGGAGGACGAGCCGCTGGAGCCCGCGCACATCTCCCCGGCCATTCCGGTCATCATCACGGCCGTCTACTCCGTGGTGTTCGTCGTGGGCTTGGTGGGCAACTCGCTGGTCATGTTCGTGATCATCAGGTGAGCGCGGGTCCGGGCTCGGGCGCCGCAGGGGGGAGCCGGCCAGGGGGTGCGGACCGTTCCGGTCAGGGATCCGGAAATTCTCCCAGCGAGTCCTCTTGAAGGAGGCCAAGGATTTCCTGGGAGTTTCTACTGGGGATGGGGGTTCACGCAGGGTGAATCTGAGCGGCCAGAGAACATAGCCTCGGTCCAACACCCACACGACCCCAAGACCCCAACCCCTGCAGAAAATTCAGTATGGAAAAGTACTGGGTTCGGACCCCAAGGTCAGTGCCTCTTGGTAAAGAAACTAGTCCATTTTCGTGGCCTTTTTTGTTTTCTAGTTTCCCGCTCCAGTTTGAAGCACTTTGGCTTTCCTTTTGTAAGTATTTCTTAAGATAAGGGCCACCAAAGGCACTGAAGATAATTCGTATATCCCTGTGAGTTATCAGATTGATATTAGGGCTTATGAAACAAAAGCCATATGCTAGTTAAGGCGGTTAATATACAAGTAGGAGACTTTTTAGTATAGAACTGCCATCTCATTTTTTTAGAGCATCAGTGACTTTTGTAAATTAACTGTTCAATTACCCTCCTCACTGTGGGCTGTAGAGATTTTCAAAAATTGTTTTGCTACTTTTCCCTACCATGAGAAATCGAAGATTTTATTGTTCTTTTGTGAAATTTTCTTGAAGTCAACTTGCAGTGATAGTTTTAAATATCCACATATTATGCTAACTTTCTGGTAAATGAAGTGATTCTTAAATAAAAAGAGAGAGAGAGAAAAAAGAAAAAGAAACCAAACTTCGTTCTGGGTGCCCTTTGAAATATTTGTTTCATTTTCTGGGAGAGCTAATGCTTTGGAAATATACTGAGAGTGAATAGCAAGCTTACATTCCTTCCAGAAGTCCCTGAAAGTCAAGAGAAGACTTTAATATCTGATTACAGACATTAGATGGATGAAGAACCGATTTCTTTTTTTAATCTTGACTTTTGTTTTGAGACAAGTCTTTTATTATTACAAACTTTAAAAATAATATCTACAGTAGCATGAGTCTTTCCCTTGGGTATCATCATCATAAAACACTTCTTTGCCTTTTTTTTTTTTTTTGGCATTGGAATGTCAGATCTTTTATCCTCCTCTCTGAAATTAAAACCATCATCATTTAAGCTTTCAAATATATATTATAAATGTCATTTCACCCACAATTAATGTAAGACCTCAGTATCCTTGGTTTCCATAATTGCTTATTGCATTTTACAGGAATTCTATCAGTGATGAGTAAAAGCTATAGAAGGAGTAAAATGTAAAAAGGCAGCTTGCCCAATTATTAGTAATCACAAGGCTGGTCTCCATTGGAGAGAATATTAAACAAAAAGAAAAGACAAGTGTATTCTAAATTGTAATTAAATATTAAAGAGACCTTGATATGAGACCATTTTGTGATAAAATATTGTAACACAAGAAGACTCAAAAAATAGGCTTTGTTCCTACTTGTGTTACATTAAATGTTCAAGTAAAACAGATGCATCTTATTGATACCTGAATGAACACATTCAGTCTTGAGTTTGATAAGGGCTTCCAAGTTGCTCTACAACATTTTTATGAGCCTGCAGACTCATTAAGAAATAAAGAATTCTACAGTAACATACATGTTAGATGAAAAAAAGAATTCTTACAGATTAACTCGGACTCTTAATGGACACATTTCCCGAAGATATATACTACAATTTGCATTACAATTTGTTAGATGAGGATAAATCCCAGCTAAAAATACTTTAAAAGTTAGTTCATGTAACAACATCATCCATCCTCCCACTCCCTTCTCAATTACTTTGAGATTAAGCTCAACAATAAGTTTAAAATGAACAGTTATCCTACCACCCTGGAAAGCCAACCTAACAAACTGATAGTTCCCTTAAATCCACAGCTAAGAGGCTATAGGAGTCTTTAAAATTTGTTCATATTGATAGATGGTTGAAGAATTGAAAAATAAAACCTTTGAATAAAAATGGACTTGGATTTATTTAGTTAGAAGAGGAACCGACTGAAGATTCAAGAGAGGGGGCCAGGAAGAGGACTGCGGTGTGCTGGTCAGAACAGAGTAGGAGCAAGTGTGGAATCTACGTGCAACTCTTATAACAGAAGTTGGAGGCCAAGCGACTTTGCTTGAAGAGACAGAGGGTCAATTTTGAGAAAGGCACTATTTTAAAATATTGTACCTGGAAAAGGATCCTGGTGTAGTTCAATCTTATGGAATATTATTCTAGAGATGGAAATTAAATGCTCAGATGGTAGGCAGGTGAAGGTCTAGGATGCCCATTTCCTATCTGGGGAGAAAGTGCTGTGGAAAAAGTGCTTTTTTAGGCATGTCTTACAAATAGCTTTTCCCACCTTGGACATCTGGAATGTTGCTCAGTATTCCCGGAAGATATTTAAAGTTGCAAGTGTTCTTACCATTTAATATACTAACAGTCATAACTCTCTACTATAAGGGTACTTTACCTTTTCACTGTAAAGAACTTAAAATTTATGTGTTCCATGCTTCCTTGTTGTTAGGTTTTGGGGGTTGAAGTCCTTGAGCATGCCTATAGATTTAAGGTTTGTATCCTAATCACATGGTCTCTTGACTTCCTCCTTTTCGGGTCACCTTCAGTGAATACCATGACACCCACAATACCTTTATCTTTGACCTTTCTGGGCATCCCTACCTCTGACATAGTGAACATCCATTTTTCTGCTCTTTCCACCACTTTCCACACTTAGAGTTGTCTCTTTCTTTAACAAGGATGATTAAAATTTAATGAGCAGTTAATATGTGCCAGGCAGGAATAGCTGTCTACTTCATGTAAATTCTTTTATTTAATCTTAACGTACATAGGTGTATTATTACCATATCTCTTTAACAGATATGGAAGCTAAAGCACAGAAAGATTAAACAAACTAAGGTCAAGTTCACCCATTGTTGACTCAGGAGAAGACCACAATGATTTCAGCAGCCTGACCCAGAGCCTGTGTTTTTATCCGTGCTGCTACTCATTTTCACTAGACTGCTTCTCCCAACATATGGATACTTTCTTTTCTAAGTAGTTCTTCATTTACTCTCAGTGCCTCTTTTTCTCTCATCCAGCCTGGATTTCATGAGTTGTCACTCCAGCCTTGATCTTGAAAATACACCCAACTGTTCTGCTCCTTTGTCCCTCTGCCACTGTCTTCCATCAAAGGCTTCATCACCATGAAGTCAGTGATATCTCTTCCATGTTCTTATACCCTACTAATCACATGTTGTTGGGTAAAATTATTTTTTTTTTGTCAAGGCAAAGCCACTACCTTCAAGTATATCTGACCCTAACTCTGCCTAGAAGATTTTGTGTCCCTCTTATTTTCTTGCGCCCATTCCTTCTCCCATTTCCCATAAAAATTGAGTTCAGATCTGTACTGGTTCCCAAGCCCTCTGCTTGACCATGTTCCCCTGCCAGTCAGTACATGATTTTGCCCAGCAGTTAACTGAGACATGAGCCCCAGCTACTGAGAATGCCCCTTCTCCTACAAACGATGGCAGTTCCCTCCTCTCAATCCACTCCATCCTGGAGGAATAGTATCTTCTATCCTTTTTCCTGTGTTTGAATCTCATCATTTCCTGGGGCTTTGCCACATAAGTTATCTCCTTCCTACTCCCTCTGCAATGTCTCCCTCTCCACAGATTCTTGTACATTTTTTCACAAAATCATACTCATGTATCTGTCATTTTAATCAAAAACCCAATATCCACCAAATCTTCCTTTGCTGAGTTTCCTTAGCTAATGTCCTTTCATCTCAAGTAAATAAGCTTCTTGGAGGAATAGTCCCTCCTCTTCCCCATCTCTTCGATTCCTCTGCCTCTTACACTTGGTCATTCTCCTTGAAGTTCCTTGACCAAAGCTAAGGTACTCATGTTTCAGAGGCTTATTTGAAGCTGGGCTGTCACCTGAGTTTTGTAGAGAGTTCTTTGTACTTTGACCAATTTTAGGTCCCTCACTTTGTCTGATACGCTTTCTCCTCAGCTCTCTTTCACATTCTTTGAGCTTTTCTGTGGTTTCTTTCATGTATTTGTCTTCCTCTGATGTCTCTAGATGATTATATCCTCCAGGGTCTTCTCAGCTAATTTCTTTCCTCACTCAGCATGATTACTGTGTTAATCAAGGTTCAACCAGAGCAGCAGAACTAGTGCTGGATGTACATGCTAAGAGATTTCTGGAAAGAAATCGGCTTATGTGATTTTCGGGGTTGATTGGATAAGTCTGAAATTCATAGTTCAGCAAGCCAAGAAGAGAAAGCTGCCCTTCCCAGGTAGAATTTGTTCTTCCTCAGTTTGCTTTCTCTGTGTACCTCAACTCAGGACTTAAGGCCATTGCACCGATGAATCAGTCACCTAGATGAGGTAGAATGATCCCCTTTGCTTCAAATCAGCTGATTATGACCATTAATCACATCTACAAAACATCTTCACAGCAGCTCCTGAGTGTGTGAGGACCCGGGAGCTGAGGCCTTGCCAAGTTAGCACATCAAAGTGACTATCATATTCCCTTTCAATGGCCCCTCTCATTCTTGTGGTCATAACTGTCAGGTACAGTCTGACAAACCCTAACTATATCTGTTACAGTTTAGAACTAAAATGTCTCACAAAAGTCTCACGTGCTCATAAGTGAAGCTTTTGGAAGGTGATTAGATCATGATGGTGCTGTACGCAGGAGAGGATTAATTCTTGAGTTCATAGGTAATTATGCTTGCTGGGAGGTGAGGTCTGGTCAGAGGAGGTGGGTCATGCTGAGCGTGACCTAGAAGGGTAAATTCTTTTGCCCAGGACCTTACCTCCCTCTCTGCTTCCTTGCTGCCATGGGTTGAGCTGCTTTCTTCTGCCAAGCCCTGCCCAAATGCTATTTCTGCTTTTAGCCATGGACTAAACCTTCTAAAACTATGAGCCAAAAATAAACCTCTCCTCCTTGAAGATGTGGCTACCTGTTATTTTGTCTCAGTCACA